TGTGTGTGTGTGTGTGTTTTAACCCACCCCATTCTCCATTTTTCTTTTGCCTCCCCCACCCTAATTTCTGAAAATATCATTAGGTGAAGGACAGTTATGATATAGTCTCTTCCCCTTTGCATACAACCTTCTTAGAGTAATTAATAGCTAAACTTAAGGCAAATGGTGACACATGGCAATTAAATCTGTCTTACTATCTCTCTTGTGGGGAAACAACACAACGACACTTTGTGTAACTGTCAGCAATCCTTGCTTAGGGTGTGTCCCATCACCCAGACTCTCCCCTTTATCTCACTTCCAGTCAGGCCAGAAGCTCCTCCTAACAAGCCACGTCAAAGGAGATGTACTATTTGCTTTGCTTCCAGCCAATAGAAAATAATTTAGATTATCTCTAATGTGTTTTTCTTAGCTACCGTTCCCTTCTGTTGTTATGGCTAGCCAAAAGCGATGCAAATAACTAGTATTTTTAGACTTGCTTTCTAGAATTTTTTTTTAGACTATTACTACATCACTAAGCCAACCCTGGTCCATGGGTATTGAGGCAACTGCATTTGTCTTTAGTCTTAAAACTTTGTTTTTCAGAACAAACTAAATCAGCCAGACATAGATTGGATGGGACTTTATTGAATCCAAGTGAAAGCTTGAGAGCATCCAAATTGGTTTATTTCACCTATCCATTTGATGGTCTGGACCCCCTTTTTTTAAAAAAAGATTTATTTATGCATATAAGAACTGGGGTGTAGGCCAGAAGTGTGGGGGTTGAGAGGATTCACCAGAGTGGGGAACAGAACAGGCAGACTGACGAAATACACTGCTGAGGGGAGCAGTGGAAGAGTCAGGAGCAGTCTGCCACGCCATGTGGGTAACTCCCTGGCCAGAGATCAAAATCGTGCTACAGACGCTGTGGATAGCTTCACAGGTTGCATCTTAACCCCTTGGTCTGAACCCTTTAAATCCAACTTGCTTGGTCCTAATAAAGGACATGCCTTCTAGAATCAAGCTGTCCAGTGTTCAGGACTCCCTAGTATCTACTTCTTATTTTTTTCCAAATGACTTTGGCACCGAGCAATTCCCTATTTCCACTGGACATGCCAGTCAGTCCTTTTTGTGGAGGGGGCTGGCTCCTCCTGCGCCCCCAGCAGGAAAGTGTGTTCTTGGGATCATGCCTTCCCAAACAGCCCTTTCATGTCATCCCGCAGATGCCGCAAGAGGCTGTGCACACTCTTTAGCATTCCTTCCCAACATCCTCTAGATATATGCTCCCTCGCTACATCATGCAGCCTTGCAATTCAGTGCTTGGGTGAGTAATCAATAACCAGCTGAGCCACTTTTCTAAGTAGGACACATATGTTACGAGATAAGTCAGCATCATTCTGAACAAGAAGCGGGTATCTGCCTGGCCCTTGTCCAGCTAGAAATACTATTAAACCAGAGACTCCAACTGGATGGACTACCTTTGTTCTCCTTCTGTTCCGTGTCTCTTCCTTTTCTTTGACTCTGCTTGAATGTGTAGAAAAGTGTCCATTCTGGTGAACTCGCCCAAGTGATCTACCATTACCTAAGTGGGCGACAAGACAACACAGACCCCGAATCTGGCCATCTCTAGCTTGAATTGCCATTATTTCTCCTAATACTCCAGCCGCTCCAGTTTCTCCTGGCCCTTCAGATCCAGTTGCCGTTGCTCCCTCTGGCTCTTCAGTTCCAGCTGCTGGCACTTCCTCAGGTATTGGTGCTCTGGCTCTTGCTCACTTCCCAGCCTTCCAACTCAGACGTGTTGGGGAAAATGACTGCTGCTGCCGGGTCTGAATCCGGCACTTCTTTTGATTGTTCTCAGAAATTACCTCACAGGAGGCCTAGTGCTCCTCGGGGTCTTCTCTTTGGCTTTTGGTGTCTTGATCTGCAAATCTAATTCTGTCATCTTAGCTTCTTTAATGAGTTTTCTAATTTTTTTGTTCTTAATTCAATTAATTTTGAGCATTTGTGAATTAATTAGTAGTGTACCAACTACTGACATTTTTGTCTTTAGCAGTTTTACTAATTCATTTCATGTATTCTAATTGTCTTAAACTCTTGGGCTGTAAAAATCTAGTAAACATGATGACAGTCTTCTGTGATCATGGAATAATGGAAGAAGAGGGACTTTTAGGGACCATGTAGTCCAACTGCTTATTTTATATTCAGGAAATGCGGTCTGGGAAGGGCACAGTGACTTGCTTGAGTCACATAGCTTGTTGGTTGCAAAGTCAGACATAGTACTTCAGTCTCCTGATTTCACATCCAGTGTTTTGATTGTTTCTGGTGAAGGGTTAATTCTGTGGATACCACTGTGGAAAGTTGCAAGCTTTCAGGTAAGGAACTAAGCACCCAGTTACCTTGTCAATGAGCCAGGTCGCCAAGTCACTAGGATTCAGGGAGTGGCCTGATTGTCAGTTTGTCTTTAGTTTTGTTTTTAAATAAATGATTGGGACAAATCCACTGACCTAAATAACATGCCCTAGGAAGGAGCATCTCAAGTTTTACCATAACACTGAATAAGTCGGGTTCCCTATAACAAAAGTAGCAAGACTCCAGCATTCCTTGCCTAGACCCACAGCAAGAATCCTGCAAAGTAGGGCCTGCGATGTGTTATCTCAAAATTTTCCAGGTGCTTCTGGCATGCTTTCTGGATAAGAACCACTGCTCTGGAGTCTGACAGTGTTTCTTAGAGTAAGGTGCCTTTAAGAGATTTATTTCTGAACCCTATCTGCAGGCCTATTAGCCTAGAATTTCTGGGAAAGGGGTCCATCTTTAAGCTCCCCAGGGATTGTTATGTCCATGTAAATACACAAAAACACTGATCTAGGTTCTGAGTCATTAAACAAAAAGCCTAGAACAATGACTTTCATGTGCCTTGTTTGTGTCCCCTGGTCAAAAATATACTTTTATGTCATGATTCAGCAAACCCACGTAAACAAATGTCTCACACGTTCAGTCAATCCCGATGTTTGTTATGCTAATCCATTCTGTTTCAGTATTTTTTAATTAGATAATAGACCCTAGATCGATTTTCAACCTCTAGGCTACTTCAGTTTGAAACACTGGGGTTTAAGATGTGCTTGTAATACTATCGAATCACAGATTTAAAACTTTTCTCTCACATTCCTCTACTTTTCCCACTTACTGCTGTTAGGCTGTATAACCTGCTGGGGTGGCTTGCCTGTGAGGAAGGTCCACTCTTGTCACAGTCACACAATATCGTCACCTGAGAAAGTAGCCTGCCTTTGTTTCTTGAACATGGGAGAGCTTGCCAACTCTGTGGTGACGTTGCTAGTGGCTTCCATCAATCACAGCACATGTAATAAATTAGAAAGTGCAACCCCAACTAAATGAAGCAAAAGGGGGTATCAGACAGTATCACCCAGACCCCCACACAAGTCTCTCTTTTCAGGGATGGCTCCAGATGTGGCCACTTCAGCTCTCTCTTCATGAGGGCAGCAGGCCCCAGCCTCCCACTGCCCAGCTCAGCTGGGGACAAGGGCTCAGAGTCTGAGCACAAACCTTGATTAAGCTTCCTAGACCACACGCTGTACCCTGAACCACCCCCCCCCCCCAAACCTCAGGACACCATACTGGAATGGAGGTAGGGGCAAATCTCAGCAAACCATGTGGTTGAAGATAAGGGAAGAATGATTTCCTGAAAAGAATCTGAGATACTCCTCCCAGAAGCAGGGAAAACAAAATGGTTGAGGACAGCCCATGTAGGTGTTGTCTCCAGCCCCTGTATTTCCATGGTCTTCCTCTTTGTCCTCCTGTTTCTTTGCTGTGATGTACCTTTTCTTGCTGCTCTTCACACCTGTGGAAACCAGTGTAGTGTTCTCAAGTTCCCAACTTAAATCTCGTGTGAAGTAGCCTCTGTCAAAATCAAGTACAGAAGACCCTCAAGGGACTTAACAGTTGAAGTCATTAGAAAGTATTGATGAAAATTCACTTCAAGAACTAGCTGGTTGTTAAGTGGAGAGAAAGGACTTGTATGGTTAAAGATGGATGAAACTAGATAGTGCCAGCACTCACATAGGCTTTGGTGCCTTTTAAATATATTAGGGGCCTGGGTCTCTGCAGAAAGCATCTATATGAGCACAGTCGGTGCCTGAAAATAGTGAGTGGTCATGAGACCGGTTTAAATGTTACAAAAGTTAAGTACAATATTTAAATCTGATAACTAAAGCTCAGTCCTGCCCATTGGTTACTTTCACAATTACTTTACTTTCTATGTATATTCAATCCCTTCTCTTTTTCAAGCCTTCTGACATGAAACAGAATGGAAATACTATTTTATGAGGGGATCAGAAAGTGGGTGACACCTATTTAGTAAGATAAGATTGATCTGTTGAAATGGAGGGTTTTTATTTTTTTCACTCTACAACATGGAGGGAAATGGTGATCTTTGAATGAGTTTTTAAATGATTCCAGGTTCTAGCCTACTTTGAGAGAGTTGAATGTAAATGAGTATCTCATACATATGAGACAGAATCTTATTTTTCTCTCAATGATATTATCAGCCTCTCTACTTGGTCACAAATTGCTCCCATGTTTGCAAATCCATACTTTCTGTGGGGTTCGGTGATCCTGGGCTATGCATTCTGCATGGGCAACCTGCCCTCTTAGTATTTAGATTTTCTCTGCACTCATGAATGCTTAGAAAATTCCTATCCAAACATATTTTATCATTTTATCTCTACAAAAGGAAACAAAATAAGCCCCCTAAGGTTTGTATTGTTCTCCTAACTTGGTCTGTAATTTTACATAAAAGCTTGAAATTCTCCCTCATAAATCTGTTCTCTCTTCTAACAAGATGCTCATTCATTTCTAATTTTCTAATTTCTGTATTTCAAGAGCTATAGCATTTTAATTGCTTATGGAAACTAATCATTGGTCTCCTACTCTTGACAGTGATTTCATTAAGACCTAATTTTTTTTAAATGAAGTTTTTCATATATATGTTTTTGTCTTTTGCTCTCTAGTGTGGCTTGATCTAAGAACACAGTCTACCGTTGAGACTCTCAGTAAAAGAATTCCAGGAAATAATAACTTTGTCAAGGTAAGAGATCTCTTCAAAAATATACCATAAGAAGGCTTCTTTTTTTTTTTTTTAAGTTTAGAGATTTCTCCAGAAAGACTCTTTGGGCCTTGCATCTTACTGCACAATAGTTATTTGATACTACTTCTAGAATATTTCTCATACTACTTCTAGAATATTTCTCCACAGATAACTAAGGCCAACTCAAGTTTTTGCCTTTCTGCCTTTCTTGCCCTGTGGTGGATTGAAGCAATAGTGAGGAAAGTTGGTAGGCTACAGGGGATTAGAAAATGTCCCAGTGAATTTAGCCATACTCCCCATGGGTTACTTCCTGTAATTCAACCTTTCTTTCTCAATCCATCTCTCTTGTTTTCCACTGTCTGTCAGAGAAAGTTCTGGGTGCTTCTGTGTGTTCAGGAAACTGAATCCAAGGAGAGAAAGCAGAAGACATGCCACCCCTTTATTGAACTCCTCTTCCACTTTCTTTATATGGCAAAGACTATTAAAATAACCTTATTTTCAGTTCTTGTATAGAACTCTCTTCACATAAATGGAGAGGCAATTTTTGAAACAGGCTTGGCCTGTTTTCTTAGCAAGGCCAAGGCCAAATTCTTCTAGTATCCAAAAGGAAGATTTGCTTTTTACTGGTTTAATTCCCTTTTTATTTGTCAGTGGAACTCTTATGGCATTTTCTGGTGGTTCTTAGTTCTGAAACTATTATTCAAACCCCCTTATTTGCAGAAATTTAACAAACCATTTCCTACCCTCACTCACCCAAATAACTTCGGGCATGCCCTGAATATACCCGTAACCATTTCCTATTCAGTCTCTTTGTAGCCCTCTCCACGCTCACTGCCACCTCCAGCCATACTTTATTTCAAGGGATGCATGTTTTTCTCTCTGATGCCTCTTGAAGCAACTTTTAGAATTTCTGCCTAAATCATGGAAACAAGGTATTAAGTATCACCTCACTATTGCCTTTGTGGGACAATCCTGCTCCTTCAAATCAAAAAAGAATATTCCCATGAATTATTTGCTGTCATTATTTTTCAGATTAGTCTTTTTTTTCCTAGGAAGGTTAGAAAATCGTGAGTTAAGACTCTTGTAGGGTGCATGAAAGTCTTAAATCCTTCGCTTTGAGTTTTCTTACTAAACATACCAATAGAAGATAAGAAGGAAAATGTTGTCACTTTCTGTAGTTAGGGATCAGAGGAAGGGAAAGATAGATACATGTATTTTCTTAACCATTTCCATCAGGTGTTATAAATAAATTTTATATTTAATATACTAACAAAAATAAGAGGTAAATCTGATCCTTTTCAAGGAAGATTGATAAGCTCATATTGTGTTTAATTTTTTAAAATATTTATTTATTTATGCATACAAGAGTTGGGGTACAGGCCAGAGATGTGGGGGGGAGAGGATTCACCAGAAACAGAGTGGGGAGCAGAAGAGGCAGATCTACTGAAATACGCTGCTGAGGGGAGCAGCAGGCGAGACAGCAGAGGTCTGCTGCATCATGTCACCTCCCTGGGTGGGGGATTGAACTTGTGCTGCAGTGGCTGTGGATAGTGGCTTCATAGTGCTGTGACTTAACCCCCTGCGCCACCAGGGAGGCTCCAACTCTGCATTGCTTTAATCTGGCATGTCTTTGAGCTCTGCTATAGTTCTCACTAATTTGATATTAACGTTATTTGCATGTATGTGTGTGCAAATATAATTTTTTTCACACACATGAATATGTTGTTGTTAAGTCTTCCATGTTTTAAAACATAAAATTTTCTGATATCCTCTGATTTTCAATAGCTTAAATATCACAACCTTGAACACAAAATGAAAAACAGAGTTGGGCACTTGGTTCTGCATTTAGTACTAACTCATCACAAAAGTTAACACGTATCTCTTTTACTATCTAGATTACAGGGTGCTGTGTCATTTACATTTCTCTTACCTTGCTACATGGATGTTCTTTGAACTGCAAGCTATCACTCTTATCTTTGTTCGGGAACATGCTTTCCTGTTCCACAAGATAGGAAAAATATTTTTACCTCTAATACCGTGGGATTGCCTTTAGGCCCCTTGACTATTTTGCAGTTAGTTGAGGTTTTTTGTTTCTGGTCATTTGTTTATTTTAAACCATTATGAATTTAATGTGCTAACTGAATTTCATCACTGTTTTTAGTCCAAGACAGGCCTTCCACTTAGCACTTACTTCAGTGCGGTGAAACTTCGTTGGCTGCTTGACAATGTGAGGAAAGTTCAAAGGGCTGTGGAAGAAGATAGAGCTCTTTTTGGGACCATTGATTCGTGGCTTATCTGGGTATGTTTTAATATGTGGAGAAATTTTGTAGACTGCCTTGCCTACTATCTGTTTTGTGCTAAGAGTTCAAACTTTTTGGTTGGCAACACTATTAAAAAAAATTCAAGAAACAGCACAACATTTCAGTTTCCATTTGAGAGGCATTTTTGCCTACTTCCTCTTTTATTTTTCCTCGCCTTACTTCAGTAACAGTGGAGGATGATTACAAAATCATGTTTCTATATGATTTAGAATAAGTAATTTAGGTATTAGTACCTTTTAGGGGCTTTTCTTTTTTGCCTCTCATGTGCTGTTTTTCCACTACCCATTTCATGGAAGAAATAACTAGTTGGCATGATAAATCACGTAGACTACTTTTTATCATTCACTTTCAAAATTACAGAGTTGTCTCTTATTTAATTAAGCAATAATATAAAAATCATAGTGGAAATTTCTGACATATGATCTTTTTGCCTAAGCTGAGCATGGGTGAGAATTATGAGCATTTCAGATAGTTCCAAAATATATCTTAAAAAGACTTGTTCTCTCTCACCCTCCCTCCTTCATTCGCTCATTTTTATTAGGGACACTGTCAGATATTCCCCACAGCAGAGGGAGCCTATTGCGATGAACCTGTGAGCTAAACCACTCAACTACAGGCAGTTGTGTTTCCACTATACCCACATACTCTTATCCCCACAGATACTTTGAAAGCAAACCCAAGACATATAATTCCACTTGTAAATACTTCATTAAGTATGTCATTATCTGTTCCCCCCTTCAAAGGGAGCTTCTGGAGAATATTGTCTCTACTCTTACTTGCCAGATCAATGGGGCAGGACTTCCAGAACCACTGTCAGGAGCGGTGCCTTCTCCACTCCTCCCTGCGCTTGGCCAGGGCAGGCAGTGCTTTGTGCTCATGGCCAGCAGCTTTTACACATCAGTCACCATTGAAAGAGTTCTAACAATTGCCTTGAACCAGAGTGAGGCAGGATGTTGGTATTGGGAGCTATAGGGGACTCAGGGGGCACCATAGGCTGTGCCCACCCCCCGCCTGATTCCATTAGTCCAGGCTTGTTTCTTTCTTGCCTCTTATGGTTCCACCCATAAGAAAGTTTGAAGCACTGCTTTCAGGATAGAGTGTGGGTCAGGGCAGGGATGGCCCAATGAGAATTGTTATTGCAAAACAGGACCGCAAACCATCACAAAAAGCCAAAGCAACAGCAGCAGCTGTACAAGGTTCAGGAAGATGCTCAAGAGGCAGACTTTTCTGCATAGTTCGCTTTGCCAAAGTTAATAAGACTCTGCATTTTCCAAAGATAAGAGGATGGAAACAAAACTGGGTCTTTGTTTAACCATCATTTAATATGTCTAATATGGTAGTCATTTAGCCACATCTACCTACCGGGCACTTGCTGTGGCTAATCTGAATTGGGATGTATTGTGAGTTCACGAGAAATGCACACATCGGCGTATTTCAAGAGTTAGCACCAAAAAAAGGGTAAAGTATCAGTGATATTTTTATATCAAAAGGATATTTTAGATAAATTAAGTTCAATTAAATGAAAATTTCAAATTAATTTTACCAGCTCCTTTATACTTTTTTAATGTGGCTACTAGGAATTTTTATATTACATATGTGGCTCGCCTTTTGATTCTATTGGACACAGCTACAAACTGGAAAATTAAGTAAGTGAAGTGACCCATTCTTCTGCTTTATATGCTCTGCTGCTAATGATGGCCCTTGACAAATTGTAAATTCAATTGCAAACAATTACAAATCTAACATGTCATTTTTATTCTGTCTAGTGTTTGACAGGAGGAGCCAACGGAGGTGTCCACTGTACGGATGTCACTAATGCAAGTAGGACGATGCTTTTCAACATTCATTCTTTGGAATGGGATAAAGAGCTCTGCGAGTGAGTTGTGCTTGGTCCTCAGCAAACTTTTCCAAATGTATTACCTATTTATAAGCTAAGTCTTACCAAGCTCAGATGTCAGTGAAATACCAAACTTTAATAGTTGATATTTCAACTCTAATGCACAGGTCTATTTGTGTAGTCCTTTAAGAGAGACCGTTGTCTCATATATATAATAAATAAGCCATGTTAAGTCATTGTCTTGATTATTTTTCAAGAAAGTGTAGGTTCCTTTAGAAAAGTACTTTCGATTCTGTGTGCTTTTTACTTTTTGATTTGTTTGCATGAAGTTCAAGTGTTAAATATCTAAGCATTCCAACTATGTTCTGCTGACTTGTTACTGTTTCACTCTATACTCAAATACAACCATTTCGTAATTATTATGTACATTTTCTCTTTAGATACATATAGATGGCTCCAGATCTTTAAATAAAAAAAAACCTGTTATGCATCCATTCTTACCGTTTTTCAGGTTTTTTGAAATTCCAATGAAAATTCTTCCAAATGTCCGGAGTTCTTCTGAGATCTATGGCCTAATGGTAAAAACAAATTTCTTTTCCTTTACAAAAAAACCTTTCCTATTCAGAATTCAAAAGTAAGTTGTATGATATTTTATAGTTTGAGAGTTGTAACATTTGTGTGAATGTTGGCGGTGTATGTAAGGAGAGCTCGGTATTACTTAGTTTTATAATATCTTAGAGTCTTTCTTACCAGTTGATTTTATATTTCATTAACTTTAATTGTCTTTTCTTGGAGGATTATTACTTTTTAAATGTTAGCAAGATCATTTGGCTACAGAGGGAAGAATGGCAATGTTTAAGCCAGTTTATTCTTGTAATCCAAAATAACAGTTTAGTATTGTGATGTCTGCTTTTAATTTATAGGAAGGACTTTCATAGTCTAGTGGAGTTCTTCCTGTTGAATCTCTCTTAGTGGCTAAGCCATGTTTCATATTAGATTCTTTGTGAGCCTGAGCAGAACTTTAGCCAAGAAACAAAAAGCGAAGAATCTGCTTCTAATTTGAGGTTGCTCATGAAACCGGCTTAACACAATGGATGTTTTTACTGTTGATGTTCATTGAAACCCCGAGAAAATGTAGTTTCAGCAAAAAAGTGTGCTTATCATCGTTGAGCTATCTCTGATTACACACCAGGGATGAACACCTCTAGGACAATTAATTCCCTGTGTCTGAGCACAAAAATTTGGAATTTATGATAAAACTGAAGAATAAGTCTATAATAAATTACAAAAAGGGTTGTCTAGACATTTCATGAAAAATATCAGAAACCCTACTACAGAGTTAATACTAGTGTCAAACACGAAGTGCTCTGGATAAAACTTGAACACAAACTCTTAAGCACTTCTAATAAAGCCTTCAAGGCAACATGGAATTTTTTCAGGGAAGTACAGTCACTGCTTATCCACAATACAAGTACTTTGATAATTTTATAGCTATCAACAAACTGACTTGGGTTGGAGAAAAACTGTTCTTGAGAAGCAGTTTCAGCAGATAGTTGAAAAAAACATTTAACTGGCCTACTTTTCTCTTGCATTTAAAATATTATGCTTCTGTCCCCTTTTTCCCCCTTGCTGACTATAGAAAATCTCTCATAGCCTGGTGAGTAGGTTGCCCACCAATTATGCTACTCATTCATTTGGAAAAGATACAGTGCATTTCCATTTAGTTTTAAACAAGCACAAGTCCACTCACTCAACAGATTTGTCTAGAATCTCCATGACCCTTCAAATTCTTATAAGCTCTAGTCAAGCTTTAGGTTTTTAAAAACTTAATCTTATTTGTTTGTTTTCAAGTTTTCACAAGCCTGAGAGTAATGTTTCAAAATAAAAGACTAAGACAGTTTCCCATAAGGAGAAATTCAAAGGAGTGTCCCCCATCACAAAGTACAGCTGTGATGTACTTTGGGCTTTAGCATAACAGGGGAATTAGATGTCATTTTTAAATGTCCTAAATGTGTATTTTGAATGATAACCATGACCAGTCTTCCAGGCCAGTTAGTTGGAAATGCACTGTCACTTTTTCTGCATGCTTCACAGGGGACTTTCCCAGGAATCTTCCAGAGCCCCCTCCCTGTGAAGAAAATGGAGCACCTTAAGTGCCTGATCGCACAGAGTAGATCCTGCCGGTTGTCTGCTAATAATTCAGTAGTGTAAGCAAAGATTTCTTTTAGTATTAAATATATTAAGATATATAGCCTCTAGGTTTCCAATTGATTCACTTTCAGTCCTTTATAAATTTTACCTTTACTTCTTATCCATGTTAACCTTTCCTAAGACAACAGCAAGGTCAGAGGCAAGCCAAAATGTGTTTATTTGGGAATAGCAGAGAACTGCAGTTTGGGGAGCACAGGCTCAGGTGGGCAACCCAAAATGTGTCCTCAGGAGGGACAAAGTTTGGGGGTTTCTTTTAGAGAGAAAGCGGAGGATGAGCTAATGGTCAGGTGAAGGAATCACAAGGTAAAATGATGAGGTAGAGAGATCACAAGGTAAAAGTAGGTAAAAATTTCCATTTATCAGTTCTTTTGGGTAGGTTTTCTCATTCTTGCAGACTTCTTGGAATATTGGTGGTTTGGCCCAGTCCAGGGATCTGACCTAGTTTAAAGAAGATGGCAAAGTGACTTTTTCTGCTGTAGCTTGCTCTGACCCCATTTTAAAATGGCTCTAGGGATGTCAACTTTTCACATCCAAGTTTAGATTTTCTAAGAATATATGTGGTAAATAAAAGTAGCAGGTCTTAAATTAACCCAAAAGCATAATAGAAATAAAGCATCTGCTATCTAGAGGACATTTTCTATTTTGTAAAGGGTTCCTACATACATGCTATTATTTCCTTTCCATCGTAGCCATGTGAGGTGGCTTCTGTTCTCACCCTCACTAGAACAGACAGGGAACCGGAAACTCCCAGAGGCTGGGAGCCTGGCTGACGAATGGCGCATGGAGGGGTCATCAGCCCAATGCTTTGGTTTCATGCTCTTCCTAGTATATACATCACACACACTTTGGGGGGGCACATTCCTTTCCCCTGGTTCTTTACTACCAGTCCAAATTACTTTGCATTCATGTATCTCCTTTTAAAAGTTAAGTTTGGTAAATTTCACAGCCAACCCCTTAAATTTCATTTTTCTTCCTAGAATACTGCTTATACTTGATCAAATAAAAAGCACTGTTCATGATATAAAGTAACTCTTGCTTATCTAAACTTCAAGAATGATGTTTGCTATGAACAAATATAATATCCAATGCCTGAACACTCTTGTGATTCTTACTGGTCAGCTCAGGTAGAAAGAACAGGTGGCAAAATACAGCCTTCCAAAATAAGTATATTCCGAGCTGCTTCGGTAGCTATTTATGTGCTCATTTTAAAGGACATGTTAGTCTTTTCTTAGTAACAGCAATAATAGCAAGATGTTAATTGTCTTTGGTGATCCTGTAGCCCAGGCCCTGTGGCGTAGATAAATAGAGGCCTAGAGAAGTCTCAGCGGCCCACTCAGGGCTTAACACTGACTTACCAGGAGTAGAGCCCACGTCTTCTGACTCCCTGTCCAATGTTTCATGCCCAGTCTCCAGTACCATGTCTCTTCTTGTCATCCTAGGAGTACTTCTAGTATCTGTCTCTGAGTCACTCATGCAGTTGAAACACATGCTTTGTCTTGTCTGCCCACATGCTCTGGCATGTTGCTCCTTGTGTTCATTCCTGTTGCAGTTATGTTCGTAGGGCCAAACGCTTATGATCATTCACAATAATGTTTTCAATTTTTATTAGAAAGCCGGAGCTTTGGAAGGTGTCCCAATATCTGGGGTAAGTTTCTCACCAAATGTGTCCCTGCTACCGTCCCACCCTTACCTGCACCCCCTTCCAAGTTCTAGCTTTCCTCCTGTATCTTACTCAACTGACTCCTTCCTCAACTATGGAAAACAAGTAAGAGCAGCAAAATTGGCTACATCTTGTTCTCATAGGACACAGTGTAGGTCTTAGAGAATGGAATGAATAAACTAATTCTAACTTTCCCTTTTCATCGTAGTTATCTTCAGGGGTTTTAGAAAATGGAAAAATGGCCAAGTGAAGGCAATGCAAAAAAAACTTGGGGCAGCTTACTACTTGATAAGTTAAAAAGAGAAGGAAAAATAGACCCTATGGTTCTCCTTTTTATGGAAATTAATAATACTGCCCTAGTCCGTGCTCCTTATTGTCATTTATTCTTTCAGTGTTTGGGGGATCAGTCTGCTGCATTGGTGGGACAAATGTGTTTCCAAGATGGACAAGCCAAAAACACGTGAGTTTAAAAAATAAACCTAAAGACCCATATTGTTCCATTTGTTTTTCCCCTTTGGTGCTCTGAAAAAGGAAGACCTTTCGGAATTCATCCAGGTTGAAAGTCAACAGCTTCGCGGGTCCATGTCAATATATAAATTTTTTACCATTTGGTTTTCTCTATTTCCAACAAAATACATTATGTCATATGTAAACACACTGATCGTGCTTATAAGAACTATAAAATTCAGTACCTTCTCCATCCAAAAAATACATGCGAATTTAAGATACCTATGTCTTTTGGGAGAGGTTGATAGGGAACAGGGGGAGGCTGAGCATAGGAGAGGGAGGACCATAGTATTCCTGCCCTAGACTTTCTCACCATGACTGCAAAGTTATATTTTGGTGGCATTATCAACATTCCTGTGTTTTCTACCCTTTTCCTGGAGTTTCTCCTTTGAGAAGAAGCAGAAGGAATGATGGGAGTAGAGACTTGGTGTATCTTTCTCATAATCTCATCTCTGTACTGTGCATACCTAGTGTTTGCAACCAGCTCCATACCCAAAATCAGTAAACTAACTCCCACTTGATGATGAGAAAACAGCTATTCAGAGAGGTTAAGCATCTAAGTTAAGAGTAAGAGTGAAGGGGCCTCCCTGGTGGTGCAAGGGGTTAAGTCTCAGCACCATGAAGCTAACAGCAGCCACTGCAGCATGAGTTTGATCCCAGGCCAGGGAGCTACCCACATGGCACAGCAGACCTCTCCTGTCTTGCCCGCTGCTCCCTTCAGCAGTGTATTTCAGTAGACCCCCCTATTCTGCTCCCCATTCTGTCTCTGGTGGATCCTCTCAGCCTCGTACATCTGGCCTGCACCCCAGTTCTTGTATGCATGGATAAATAAATCTTTTTTAAAAAAAAGAATAAGAGTGAAGCAATATTTGCATCCAGAGCCACCTGACTTGACAGAGCCAGGGCTCTTAACCTCTACACTCTGTTGACGCCTGTGTGGAGATGTCCATGGACCTGGCAGGACACTGTCTACATTTAATTGTTTTCTTAACTATTTCCTAGTTTTCTTATCAATTTAAACTTTCATGGCTAAATTCTTTTGCAAGTAAGCATTGTTAGCCAAATCCTTAAATGATGAATTTAGGCAAGACTTGTTGAGTGCATTTGCAGCTACTGCAGATTACAGGAGGGAAATAGTAAATTGTCAGATCTTTGGGCTCAGATTCCTCTTCCTTATGGGAAAGAACACAAACACATTTAATCATGTTATAAATTATAACTTATCTGCCATAAGAAACTGAAGTGTAGCTGTTGGATTTCAATGGGAAGGGAAAATATCCTAAAAGATTATTAGTAGTGAAAGATTTTGAAGAATGAGTGATATTGGCAGGTACACAGAATACTAAACAAAGACACAACCACAGAAAGCAAAGATTTTGTTCAGAGAATATCCAGGTAGAGAAGTGGGAGAAAATAAGGCTCGGGCATGTTGTCAAGCCCTACATTTCAGACTGAAGAGTTTTTTCTTGATAGCCAGTAGAAAACCTCTGAAGCTATGAGCCGGTATACAGAGGTGACAGGCGTTGTCCATAAATAACAAGGCAGTCCTGGGTCAAAGTGAGGAGAAACTTGAGGCAAAGAGGCCATGGAAGAGGCCACTACAGCATCCTGGTAATGGACAAGATTAAAAGATGGGGGACCGCCCTGGGGTCGCAAGGGGTTAAGACGCAGCACTATGAAGCGATCTGCATCCACTGCAGCATGAGTTCAACCCCCGACCAGGAAGCTGACCCACATGGCACAGCAGACCTCTCCTGTCTCACCTAGTGCTCCCCTCAGCAGTGTATTTCCGAGATCTGCCTATTTTGCTCCCCACTCTGTCTCTGGTGAGTCCTCTCACCCACCCCCACTCGCACACCTCTGGCCCACACCCCAGCTCTTGTATGCATAAATAAATAAATATTTTTCAAAAAGATTAAAAGATGGGCACACAGCGGGAGGCTGTGGATGGTCACCCTCAGCACTGCAAAGGAACAAGAGAAAAGCATGGAATCCAGTCACGTGGGCCCAGTGTTTCAAGTTAGCCAAGGTCAGTGGAGGGTCTGAGTAGGAGAATCTCTGTTCAGGATATTTGTGGAACTGATGGGTTATCTGTCGCAAACATTTAGGAACGTGAGATGAGTTCAGTAGAATGGTAGAGATTTTGAATTTCTCCTGTGTAGAGGTGATGTTTGAAGCAATAGAAATAAATGGAATTAACAAGAAAAAGTAGGCAGGTAGAGGAGATATTGAGAAGTGGGATACACAGGGATGGAGAATTCATAAGAACAGAATGCAGTTATTCATTCATGTGGAAATCCAGGTTAGAGATATTTAAGAGGGAGGTTTAGTTTTAGTGCAAAATACCACAGAAAACTCCAGGGGGTGAGAATGAGAACAAACCATTGTACATAGACATGTGTCCACTCTTCATCAAGCAAGTCAAGACTATATTTGGGTGAGAATAGGTAGAATGTCTTGAGATAATTCTTACTCAGAACAGTGGTGCCTGGAAAATTGTTTATCAGAAAAAATTGTCCTTGGTTTCTTTTTTTTTAAGATTATATATTCATACAAGAGCTGGGGTATAGCCCAGAGGTGTAGGGGGTGAGAGGATTCACCAGAGACAGAGTGGGGAGCAGAACAGGCAGATCTACTGAAATAGACTGCTGAGGGGAGCAGCGGGCAAGACAGGAGAGGTCTGCTGTGCCATGTGGGTTAGCTCCTGGGCCAGGGATCGAACTCATGCTGCAGTGGCTGCGGATAGCTTCATAGTGCTGAGACTTAACCCCCTGCGCCACCTGTCCTAGGTTTCTGTTTGCTGCCCCAAACACACCTGACTGCTAGTAGCTTCTGCTGGGATCCCTCTGCCCAGCCCCGGACTGAGTGTTCCCCCTTCCCCCCACATGCATCTTGTGTCCGAGCACAGCAGCAAGGCCTGAGGGGGAAATCTCGGCCTCTGGCTAGACAGCTTGTGCAGAGCAAAGGGTAACCTTGGCAGCCAACTCAGTTGAAAATTATTTTCCCTGTGACCCTTGCGGCTATCAGGTCGGGCTGTTTATCTGCCTGGCACAAGTCAAATCTACTCCTGTCTAAGTAACTGATTTGTTGCAGAGTCCAAAGCTTATGCTGATAAGGCTGTCACAAAATGAATTTTGTTCCTCGTGTCAGCCTGGTTACATTCGGAATGTCTCTCCTGCCACCGTCACAACCCCCTGTCCAACAGAACAGATGGGAAATTGAGGCCTGGAATAGCCTTCCCCTTCCTACCATTCCTGTCCCTGGTAGAACTAAGCCCCTTGGTGAATGGTTCAGTGTTGTCATTTCATTTCACGTGGATTAATAGCAGCAACTGTCACTGAATATAGAATTTGTTGTAACTCGTGGTATTTTATAAACACAGTCCTGGGCTAAGACTGAGTAAGCGTTAAATACTGAACAGGCTCACCTTGGCTATATTGCAGATTTGGTTCAGGACCACTTCAGTAAAATGAGTCACGTGATTTTTGGTTTCCTGGTGCATACAATAGTTAGGTTTATGCTACACTGTGTGTTTGGTCTGCTAAGTGTGCAGGAGCATTATGGCTTAAAAAACAATGTACGAAACTTCATTTTAAAATGTCTTCTTGCTAAAAATGCTAACAGTTATCTGAGCAAGTGGCGATGTTTTTAGGGGTGGAGGGTCTTATGAGAACCACGTCTGTGAAACATGATAAAGCGACATGCAATAAAACGAGGTATACCTGCACCTGCATTTTCCCATTAAGATCGCACTAAGTAGATTTTCTTCTAGATTTATCTTTAAACCTTATTCCAAAAGTTTATTAACTTTTGGAACTTTTCTAAAACCTTGACGTGATGGCTTTTATTGCACTCAGTTAAATGTCAATTCAAATAATTTGTATTATTAGTATTCCATCATTTATTTTTATTTTTAATAAAATTGTCATGCTGTTTATGCTTCCCCCAACTATAGGTACGGAACAGGCTGTTTCTTACTATGTAATACAGGCCGAAAGGTTGGTTTTTTTTTTTTAATTTAATTTTGATGTAAGTCTTTATTTTCATATAAAAATACTTGAACATCATTTGCTATTAAGTTGCCTTTGAATCTGCAGCTTATATTTAACCTTTATATGGATTCAATTTAGAGCTCAGTAAAAATTATGAACATCACTAAATTCGAATGACTCTGAGTAAGAACCATTCTAGGTTCTTTGGAATTTATGTGTGCATTTTAGTTATGTTGGTGGGATATCTCCTAGGGTCATGTCAGATTCTTAATGCAAAACTAATTTGGAACAAGGGGTCAACTTTTTATACTACTTAGGTGTGTTGTTCTTAATACTGGTAATTTTGAATGTTAGGGTTCATTTTTTAAAACAGTATATTTATTGAATTATTTTGAACCTAGGTTATTTTAACTTAAAAATTAATTCATGCTATCTTTTTATTTTCCTCATTACTGAAATATTTTCTCCTCCCTACAGTGTGTATTTTCTGAACATGGCCTTTTGACCACAGTGGCTTACAAACTTGGCCGGGACAAACCAGTTTATTATGCACTAGAAGTAAGTTCTTTTCAATCACTATGGATAATATTACAAACATCCAAAGCAAATGAAAATTCTAGTTTTTTCTGACACCTTTTCTGTTAAACCTTAATATAGAGGACTCAAAAACCTTCATTTTCCATTTGGCATTTGGTTGAGTGGAGAGAACCTGGGGCTGAGCTAAGGGTCTGAACTCTCAGGAGACCTTGAGTATTTTATTTTTACATTAAGTTCCCCAGTTCTTTTACCAATTAATTGTATGACTGGGTGTGTTATGTAACTCTCCACACTGTGAGTCTCTGTCTCCCAGTGTAATGATGAGGTGAGCTCGCTTGCTAACTTTTCTTTCAGCTTGAAAATTCTGTTTTTTTATGACCACAACACCCCAGTGTTCCAAATAGAACCACTGAGGACAAAAAGGCAGATCAATTGTCTTCACTCATCTCCCATAAAATTAAATGATTTGTCACTTTTTGATGTGGGAAAGAAAGTGAAGAGATTTATGACATTTTTCACTTAAGAAGTGTTTGTTTCAAAATGTTTATAAATTCTAATAGGAATATGTCAGTCTAAGTCTGTAGAATATGGTTAGTTTATATTACAATCATTTATTTTTAAAAGACAAAGCTGCAGCACTCTTTGTGAACTCAGATACGTTTGTTAAAAGCATTTCTTTGAAATTCATTTTAAAAGGCTCTCTTATAACACACAGATAGACATTTGATCTGAAAACTTAGTGAGGTTTGTTTCCTGGAGTATCTGATAACAATTCAGTCACAAGTTGTAAACTTCTGTTTATAGTTAAAATATTTCACTACTTGTTATGCCTGGAGCAGAATTTTCGTTATTTCTGTTTTTCTTACTCCTTCCCTACATAAGCAGTGTAATCTCTCCATGAACCCCTTTTCTATGGAAAATAGAAGCACTTATGAAATACTTGGTCTGTGTATTCAATACTTCTCAGAACTTAAACTCTTAGAAGCTTTTGCCCCTCGCCCCCCCACATCCCCCTGGAAAGTGCTTAGTATGACACTCAGCGCTAGAATATGTACTTGATTTGCGTTCCCTGTAACAGCAACAACACACTGCTTGCTTTTTCCTTATGCAGGAGACCATCAATGGTTTTGAATTTTAGATGCCTTATACCTGGAAAGGTGGCAGGGATTGGGGTTACCTGACCTTAATTTCATTCTCAATATGAAAAGCCTTCTCTTCTGTCCTTTACCAATAGCCTTCCAACTTCTGTTTGACATTAGCACCGAAAACTGCTTTTCAGTAACAGCTTCCGTTGGACCTAGGTCAGATGTTAAGAACATTCAAATGCAAAACAGGGTTGGAAACAGCACAATTTTTCTGAGTCTTCCTACTCTAGGATAAATCTCTCCCGTGTCCTGATGTCACATGGTTTCTAGACTTATAGTTTTGGGATCCCTTCATTAGATGAATTCCAATTTGTAAGTGTCTTCCAGAACAGTATAGAATAGTCTCCATATAATCTGGCCAGTGTTCACCTGTGTGATTTGTGCCTCACTGACCATAAACCACTGCTTCAGCTACTACTTCAGCCCGAGAATTCATTAATTTAAACTGTAACCCCATCTATCATTGTCTGAGAAGCAGCTGTTAAAATATCTAACTCCTTTTCAAATGAATTACTGTCCAGCCAAGACTGCTCCTTTCTGTATTGGTGTAGAAGACTTGTTAATCTAAATTCAAGTTTTTGCTTCTTCCTGTTCAATTTCATGATAGTGATTTCGTCCTATTCTGACAGTCTGAATTCCTTTTCACTCTTTACTGTTGCTCTTCCAGTTAGTCTCATCTGGAGAGTTATAAGCGTATACTTTCTGATTTTGTTTCAATTCATGTGCTTTATTTTTATTTTAAGTTTTTAAAGATTTATTTATTTATGCATACAAGAACTGGGTTGGAAGCCAGAGGTGCAGGGGGTGAGAGGATTTACCAGATATAGTCGGGAGCAGAACAGGCAGATCTACCGAAATACACTGCTGAGGGGAGCAGCGGGCGAGGCAGGAGAGGTCTGCTGTGCCATGTGGGTTGCTCCCTGGCCTGCAGGGGATCAAACTGGTGCCGCAGTGGCTGGTGAGAGCTTCACAGTGCTGTCTTTAATCCCTGCACCACCAGGGAGGCCCAAGGGAGTCTTTAAATATTTAAGATATTATTTGACTGCCTATTTTCCTAACATTGTTTATAGCTATTTGGTCTTTTGGGTTTTTTGTTTGTTTTGTTTTTTAGATACTTAGTATTTTTAACCTAACAAGTTAAACCATGATGAGGAGTGAGAATGAGTCACCCTTACCACCTCCACCAGCAATCATGTTGCTGTATTTAAAGTTTTCATTTTGGGCCTCCCCTGGTGGCGCAGGCGGTTAAGCGCAGCACTGTGAAGCTGCCCACAATCTCTGCAGCGCAGGTTCAATCCCGGCCTGCAGGCGAGGGTACCACATGGCACAGCAGACCTCTCCTGTCTCACCCGCTGCTCTCCTCAGCAGTGTATTTCATCAGTCTGTCTTTTTTGTTCCCCGCTCTGTCTCTGGTGAATCCTTTCACCCTCCTGCGCATCTTGGTTCTTGTATAAATAAATAAATCAATCTTCAAAAAAAATAAAGTTGTCATTTCATTTCATTAACAAGTCTTCTACACCAATACTAATTACATGCAGTAATTTGTACTATTTTCTTTTCAGTTGATAGTAAACCTTGTGTGTGAGCTTACTTTATCAATTTCTGTAGCCAGTTTCCTATCTTTGGCCCCTTACCTCTTATGTCACTACCCCCCTTTATTCTTGCTGAGGGACACTCCTACATAAATCTTTGAATAAGAGGCTGGGCGACTAAGCTTTTTCTTGCTGGTTTTGTCTTTATTTTCTCCTCTCTCCAGGAATGGGTATAAAATCCTAGATCAAAGCTGTTTTCCCCACATCCCTTTTGGCCATTTTTGATGCTGATGAGATCTGCTGCTCTGATCTAACCGTGGTAACTTTGTAGATAATCAGGCTTATTGTCTGGGAGCTTTCAGCATTCTCTCCTTATCGGTGATGTTCTATCCTTTTTCTGTGATGTGTCCAGGATTGGGTTTATTTTTATTTATCCTGTTAAGTTCTTCGATACAAGTCAGTCTGCAGTTCTGGAAAAGTCTCAGCACCTATCTCTTCAAATTGGTATCACTGCCATTACCTTCATCTGCTTTCAGAATTGCTCTTGAATGGATACAGGAACCCCTGAACCCATCCTCCATGTCTCTTTACTGCCCTTTTTTTATGTTGCATCCCCGGTGAGTTTCATACATCACATTTCCAAATGCTCTCTTTAAACACACACACACACACACACACACAAACCCCCCACAATGTTCTTAGTGTAAAATATAAGACACAGAAAAATGTGTAAAACCTGAAATTACAGTTTAACAAGTTGTTATATAAAGGAGGCCCGTGCAGTCTCTCCCCAGGTCAGGAAACAGGACCCCCATGTGCCTTTCCCAGTCATAGCCTCCTCCCTCTCCTCTAAGGAAACCACTGCCCTGACTTTTATTATGATCACTTCCTTACTTTTCTTTATAGTTATAACACTCAAATGCACAATCCTAAACACCAGAGTTTAGTTTGGCGTGCTTTAAATACTCTATATATTAAAAATAGGAAGAGAGAATAAGCAAGGGACTGAGCCAAACAATATGTATTATTTGATTTGGCTTCTTTTGTTCAACATTCTCTTTGTGAGACTCATCCATGCTGTTAGATACAGCGATTGCTTCACTCTTTTTTCATTACTATGCAAAAATACCACGGTTTAGCATTTATCCAGCTATTAATGCCATTTGAGTTGCTTTCAGGTTTTAGATATTAAGAGAAATGCTGCTGTGGATAGTTTTGTACATGTCTTCCGTGCCCACCCTTCTGTAGGAGTAGAATATCTCAGCATGGATGGTGTATATCTGCACTTTAAGTAGATAATACAAATGAGGCCTGCCATACTCCCACCAGCAGTGTTTGGAAACAGTAATTTACTGTTCATCTGCACTTCTCCTAAGCATCTCATCTATTTCATTTTTAAATTTCACTCAGTAATTTCATTTCTAGACTACAAAAGCAGTCTTGCTTATTTTTCCCATCCACTTCATTTTGCTTTATTCTCTTTTCTTTTGATTCATAATTTCATGGTTTTTTAAATGGAAACTGTGCCTTAACTTATCTCTATAAGTACTTTAAGCACACGGGTATTTTAATGTCTTTGTCAAAATGCAGTGAATTCTATTCCAGCTGTTAAGTAGTGCTGGCTGGTGTCTTAATATCCAGCTTCTTCATGTATTTTAGAATTTTTGCTTCCATGCTCCTCTTCCAGGAAGCCAGAGACTCAGCCAGCAGGTAGACAATTGCTTGTTTTTCCAGCATCCCTGCACAAGCAGGAGCACACCACCTAGCACTTAACTTCAAACACCAAAGCTGATTCTATTCTTTCACAAAACATTTTGGAGGAGCCAGTTCTGGATTCTCTGAACCATCCCCAAAAATGAATCAGAGCCCATCATGTTCGTGGCTTCGAGTCCTGCTTGGCCCAGCATTTCTGTGTCTTTCCACCTCCATCTCTTCTGTATTTGAGCCAGCCTGTGTCTTGGTTTCTCTTTTTACATTTTGTCTGTTACCCTGTGTGTTTAGAACCAGCGGGATGGTTGAAGTTCAAGCTCACCATCTCTGTTGATGTGGCCATCGACCTGTTTTTCACAAGATAAAGCTTTTTTTCTCCCAAACCCCTTGGAATGTGATTCATTTAGGCTTGACATTTTAACTTCTTTAGGTCTTTATTCCATTATCAATAAAAAGGAATTGGGGCACATGATCTCTTAGTTTTTCTACGCCTTCAAATTCATATTAAACTGTTTAAAGATGTCCTACTCTTTCTATTTGGGTGATTTTGCTTAGTGGTGGAAGAGACCGCAGAACAGTTGAGTAGCTCCGCCTCCTCTGCCATCTGTCAAAAGTGTACCTACTATTTCCTCAA